ACAAAAATAGAATACACCAGAATAGCTATCGTACTATTGATACCGCTGTATATACACGAAGATTAATAGATTTTTACCGGATGCCACTTTTCATTGTCTGCTGTGTGTTTATTGTGCTGTGGCTCGTGCTATTTTCTTTGACGAAAGATCGTCTGGATAGCGTTCCTTGGTACTTTGAAGTATTGGCATATAGCTGAAGAATGGTAATTCAAGCAGTAGGACAACGTTCTTCTGGGCCAGGTGACACACCGCTGTCTGATTACGATTTCAACGTTTTGCTGGCGTCCCGCGTTCCCATGAAAGCTTCGTGAGGTTCGGTGACAGGCCGCTGTGAAGCCGCATTGCATTCCTCCCTGCATAGCTTTATGAGAAGCGGGTACCGCAGCTGTCAGCAACCTGATTATTAGATCTTTGTTTGAATGCTAGCGTTTGCCTGATGACGGTTGAACACAGCTTTTGCCTCGATGATAGCTTGTGTTGTTTTGCCAAAACATTGGAATTACAATAAACACATGAACTCTGACACTGGTTGCTCCTGGCACTTATAAATATTCAATTCCTATGACTTTTTTTGATTTTCGATCATGGTCATTTCCTTATTGTTATCACGAAGCTTGTTCTTGACATAATTTAGGTGCTGGATCGAGCTGTGCTACAGCAGTCGTTTGTTGTGGAGTATGTTGTGTGCAGTCAGATGTGTGATGCCTGCCACCGAGAGGAAGCGAAGGATTATTGGCGAGCGGTTGTGCAAGTCAGACAGAAGGTAGTGAATTTGGTCATGTGTAAGTGTTTCACGCGGTTGTTGAAGAGCTCGAACAAGAAGACGTTACTTTATCTAGAGCAGCTAGTTCTGAAACACGAAATGTATCGCCAGACAACGGAAATTAAGCAGATGCACGGTTAGTAGCATTAAACGAAACTTAAAATTCATTGTTATTAGCCATGCTGTTCATATTGAACCTTTTGCTTTACAGTTTCGCAGTTGCTCATTTTTCAAGCACTTCGCCTACACTTTAACCGGGGAAGTATGGCAGAGAGATGCTAGTTGTTGCAGTTTCGAAGAATCTATTTTTTGCACGATAAATACCCACTCGAATTGCCAATGTTTCGGCAACCTCCCAGATGCCGACGCAGACCAGCCAGAAAATAGGCCAGCCAGAAAGGCTTTTAATATCTCTGGCGTCCCCAATCGTTTTAGCCAACTTCAGCGATTTTATTACCTGTCACATCGGCCATTGCAAGATTTCTTGCTGTCACCAGATGCACTTTATGGATGTCGTCATAATCAGCGCACACTTTATTTCAGAGATTCTTCAAAGTATTCGTTGCATTTTGAAAGATATACCTTACCTTAAGCCGCGCGTTAAGGCGGATTGTTTGCCTGCATATTTCGCCGATTGGTAGTCACAGATCACTTGTTCTCTAAATTATTTCCAAACTTTTACTTGTACAGTGCTCACTGCATATGTTGTAACTTTCTAACCCCGTGTCCCGCATTACAGACTCATTTTGTCTTTGACTGTTTGTTCCAAAATATCCACTGAATTCTCCCGTACAAGTGCTTTAATTTTCAAAGGTCTACATTTGTAAGCAAATTAACGCATCTAAATTGAACGACATCATTTTGTTGTATATTCATTTCAGTGAATTGCAAGAGGAACTGTTCGTAAAGGGAAATTTTTGCGTTTTTTGAATATTATACATGAAGTCTGTAGTATTTTCCTTGCAGTTCAGGCTTAGTTTTTCGTGGTTATTTCAGTTCACCCCGAGGCACTTTTTGAAAACAATTTCTCTTTCAGCTGTTGAAACAGTTTGTCAAGGGCAGTTATTGAATACTTTTAGATGCATGTAATTTTCATTTCTCTTAGTTTTGTTCTTTGCATCAGAATCTGCCTTCCTTGAGCACCTATTATAGTTGATCGTTGATTCTCTTTTCGACAGGTAGACTGTGTAATCTGGTAGATATTTCCTTTAAGCGCACACAGACGTCACTGCTTCCTCTCTGTTTAATAAAAATTCAGTTTTAATTTACGTTTTAATATTCCTGTGAAATTATGGAAATGGGTAAACTGTGACAGTATTGTTAAAGGTTTTATTGCGTAAGGGTTTGTTATATCGAGTTTGAAAATATATTGTATTACATGGTAATTGCTGTTATCAGAAAAAAACATTCTTATGTGGAGTTTGTAGTTGTTTTGCGTGATGAACTTCGTCAGACAGAGGCTTCATTGTAGTTACATTGTTTGCTGTTGCTTTTGGCTTAGTGTGTTATTCAGCATTTTTAGGTGGAATTGATTTCTACTACGCGCACAGGCAGAATGCGATGAAAATGATCGACTTCCTGCTGAGTGTGCTACCAGCCAGATACCAGCATTCGCGCGAGCTTATGTCGCATGACGTTCACTCGAACACCTATGACTACAAGCATAACTACTCTGTCGAAGTTGTGCCTCTTTGCAAAGTTAGGGCCGGACATCGACTGCGATCGATTGGTTATGTTGTTATGTTGCAGGACGACGTTGTGTGCCTTCCGAAAAAGCTGGCTCATCTGTTGGGAAACATCGCTCCCCTGTGCATTTGCTACCGCATTACGAAAACTATTCATCTAATTGACCCAGAGAGTGGTCAGGGTAAAAGATTTAAGACGCAAGAGAGTTGCTTATCGTTGATTTCATATCCAATTTTCAGTAGCTGAAGTCGACAGTGACCAATACTGGCGATATCCATTTTACAGCATCGGAAATTCGTCTTCTTTCACGAATTTCTCTGTGATCGATATCGAGCCCTTAGAAGAATGCAATAGCAACCCAATACCTGGTCAGGGAAAAGTATCGAGTAAAGTAGGTGCAGTTATATCTCAGTAACTTAATATTTCATTGCAGCCATACGAAACTTGTTAATTAGTAAAAGTTCATTGTAACTGGAAGCCATGTCTTCCATGGGAATCACAGATATTATTTTCCGTTTAAATAGATGATGATATGACGCTTAAGTTTGGCCAGCTTAATTGCAAACAGTAAATTGTTCAAGTGTTTATTAGCTTGTGCGACGTAACTGTTATCCGCATAAATGACTATTTCCAGACAGTAAATTCAATACGTTCTGTAAGTGCAACGAAGTAATATTTAGGGTCTAATGTAAAAATTATATGAAACCACGGATATCTGTCTTTCTGGACCTCTAAGAGTTCTGCAAAGTGAGAAAGAGATTAATCAGTGGTTCAGTTTTAGTATGAATCACTTTGACAGTGCTCCTGGTTTCCGCTGGCTGGCTAATTGAAATTTCACACACTGGTTGTGTGTGAAATAATCACGTTGAGCAATTCGCATAAGTTTTGATTTGTGATGTCTGCTGTATTCGCAGCTTTCCAACACTTGCTATAATGCACCGGTTACTTCATCATAGAAAGAAATCTTTCGAAAGCAAATCTGCCTCTATCTTTTACTACATGCATACCGTCCTCCTGGTCGACTTCTGCCTTGTTTCAACTTCCACGCGAGAAACTCATGGGTTGGATAAACCGTTTATTCTCAGACAGTTAGTGTAACTGGGTCAACATTTTCTTACTTCACATCTTCTACGTTCACATGTGCCCATTACTTACGTGGTTCTACAATTTAACTCTCATTGTGCGCTAGAGCCAACGCAGCTATGCGCGGTTCAGTCACGTTCTATCTTCTTCGTTACAACAATTGTTTTCATGCCGTACGACAACACTTACCTGACCGAGGTAAGAATTTTGTGGAAAGAAATACTGCTTTTTCAGCCCAAATATTGTGCGATTTACGAAATGCACTCGAGACCTGAGCGTTCCCCTTTTTTAACTCGGACTAGATGCTTCCATCGCTGGTGACGATGGAACCGGGATACCTAAATTGGCAAACCTCCTGAAGCGGTTCACTTACCTGTTCCACTTATGAATCTGCTGTGCCAGAGGGTTAAGGAATCTGCTGTGCCAGAGGGCTCCTCGTAACGTATAATTTTTTAGGGTTAAGGAAAAGGCCAATTTTCGCAGCTATGTTGCATACGGAAGCAGTCAGGTGGCGGAATGCGCTCTCTGTAGTACTCGCTTTGTCAATATCATCTTCGTACACCATGTCAGCAGGATATGTAATCGGATATCTGGAACTGCGCCTTCCTTCTTGATTGAGACTTTCATCTTTGTAGAGCTAGCATTGTTTCATATGAGAAAATCGAATCAACATTCCATAGCAAAGGCGAAAACACCCCCTAGAGAACTCCACAGTTAGTTGGGGAAACCACTTAGTTCTTCTACTTTGACATGAGTCATAGTTCCTGCATATGTTTATTCCAATGGAAGCGGAATTCTCAGGCATCCCATAGCATTTCAAGATTTTCCACATTGTCAGCCAATGTGTTGCATGAAATAAAGCCTTAAAGTCGAGAAAAATGGAACCAAAGAGTACCCCATTCGGAAGTCTGATTGATTTGGGCGAAGTCTCCAATCAACTGATTGTCTCTGATTTTCCAGGCTAATCTATGAGAAAAGTTTCAAGGAAGTTGACAGTAGTGTAATACTATAATAACTGGAACACATGATAGCCTGATTTTCTTTAAAATAGAGACATTTATTCCACACTTCCAGTCTCTGTGGAAAGGTTTAGAGGTCCATTTTATTGTGGCATGACGCTTTTCTATCTCTTTCGTTCTTCCGTACGTAATTAGCTCGATATAGCATGAGACGCTATT